AAGAAATAAAATTTTGTTTATAGATGACATGCTTGTCTGCACAGAATGTTAGTTAAAAGCCAATAAGGCAGCTTCTGAAACTAATAAACAATTACAAGTTTATAGGTTAATGTAAAAAGTCAATTTTTATATAGAATGAGTAAGTAGATTTTGAAATTTAAAACAGTACTAATAATGCTATTGATTTCATGTCCTGCTACATTGCTTAATTTTGTTATTAATTCTAGAAGTTTTTTCACGGAATTTTTTGACTATTCTATGTAGAGGATCTTATTATCTGTAATTGATAATACTTTGATATTTTTTCTTTCCTGTAGGCAGCCCTTTTATTTCTGTCTCTTCCCTGATTAGCCGTTTCAAAGACTATGTTGAATAGGAGGGATGATAGTGGACATGCTTGTCTAGCTCCTAATTTTGTAGGAAAAGCATTCAGTTTTAGAAAACAATCCTAAAATTTATATGGAACCCAAGACTCAAACTGACAAAAAAATCCTGGGTAACAAAAGCAAAGCAGGGTGCACGACAATCTAAGATTTGAAGTTGCACTATAAAGCTACAGTGAGAAAAACAGCATGGTACTGCAAAATAAATAAATACACATGCAGATCATTGGAACACAATAGGGGAAGCAGAAACAACCTCAGTGTGCATCTAGCCATTTCATCTTTCACAAAGAGCTCAAAAGCATAAAACTGGAGGAAAAATAAACTCTTTAATAAATGACGGTAGGAAAATTTTATATCCACATGCCTTCTATGATTGGGATGCAAAGAGGTGTCCCGTGATTAGGCTGCTGATATTCCAAGAGGAACACAGATCTGTGTGGTCTTTAAAATAACTGAGTGAAGTAATGGTTTCAAGACCACTTTCATCCCATAAACTCAGTGCGAAGAGGACTCAAACTGCTGTTCAGGCATCTGTCTTTAGTGCTCCTTGTGGCACTAAGAACATAGAAGATGGATTTGTACTTTGGATTAATAAAGAATGCATACATACATGAAACAGAATCAGTAGGCTTCGCACATGCTTCTGGGTGTCAGAGAAAGAGAAGACCTAAAATAATGACTTTTTCAGCCTCTGGTGTGTGGTGAGTACAGAGTTCCATAAAACAACCAGGGAAGTTATAGTTCTTCCTGTGAGTTATGAGCCAATTACTGCTCAGTTGTCTGCAGAGCCTTTGGGCATAGTTGGAATATGATGAAAGTCACTCTGAATATGCTCTAGTTGTTTCTGTTATTGTCACTTAGAAACACTCAGTCAGGGTTAGAGAAATAGATGAACCTAGTGATTTTTCTAAGGGAGGACATGAGACACTATGTACCAAATTCAAGTCAACAACCAGCACTTTGATGTTGGATGATTAAATGGAATAACAACATCCCTGGTAAACATGATTAAGGTAAAAGATTATAGAAGCGTGTTAGAAATGGAAAATATTATTAAAAATATGTCAGCTTTTGGTATTTTATCCCTAGTCCTTTCCAAAGATCCACTATTATGCCAACAAAATACTATAAGGATAATGATAATGACATTTACTAAAGAAATATAAGCAGTATAACTTTCCATTTTAATGTTCCATATTTCTCATGTTTATTCAGTACTCAGAAAGCTCTTCTGTTTATATTTAAATTCACAGTGGTTTTCTTTCCACTTCTTTTAAAATCGCTAAAAAATACTTATCTTTTGTTATCTGCATAAATTCTGAAGTTTTATGAGATTTTCTGATAATGAATGAGTAACAATATTTTAATCACATGAAATTTTTGAGCAGTTTTTATTGCTCATTGTATTTACAAGGAGTTATTTTATACCTATGTAGATTTCTTAAAGAAGTTTGCTTTCTGAGGACTAAATTAGCAGGCTAAACATTGAAATATCATTTGGTATTATTTCATCAGGATGGCTCCATGGAATATCTGAGGTGTTAGAAAATATATTTGTGATAACTTAGTTCCTAAAGCATTTGACCTCTGAAAATTCTATAATTGAAATTCCTTGGGGGACCAAGTTGTGTTTACTTAAGGCATCTTGCTAGCAGATGTAGTGCTATGGCCTGTGTTCTCCAATTTCATGTTGAAATCCTAACCCCCAAAATAAAGGTATTAGGGTATGAGGTCTTTAAGGAAATGATTAGGTCATTATGATGGAACCATTGTGAATGGAATTTGCCCTGTATAAGAGTCTGGAGGAAGTTATTTTGCATCTTACACCAGTGAAAATATAGTTAGAGGAACCATTCCTGAACCAGGAAATTTCCTGCATCAAACATAGAATCTGCTGGGCCCATGGCCTTGGATGTACAGAGTCCATAACTGATGGAAATATTTCTGTTGTTTATACGTCACACAATTTAAGGCAATTTGTTATAGTAATCCAAACTGACTAGGACTCTTGATTATAATATCATGTTTGCAAATTGTTGTATCTTTCCCAAATATTCATTTTGCTAAGCACCAAAAGAAACAAAAGGACAAAAGGAAAAAGAAAAAAAATTTGTGCAGGGTCAGGGAACATACCTCCGTGTTACACCATTTTCCAAGGAAGGAAGGAAGGAAGGAAAGAAATGTGTACAATTCTTTGCATGTTCATATTAGTTTTCAAACTAAATGGACAAAAATTGAGGATCATAATGGCAGGATCGTATGGAAACTACGTTTAGCTTAGTCAGAAACTGCCCAGTTTTCTTCCAAAATGGCTGTATAAATTATGCATGCTGATCAGCAATGAATATCTGTTATTATACAGCCTTCCAACATTTTATATTTATACTATATTGTTAATCTTCGACTGTTAGCCTTTGCACTGCTTGTTTAGTGATATCATACTCCACTTTTAATTTTGATTATTTTTTATTATCTATTCTGTTCCACTAATCTATCTTTAATTAATACAAAAGCTTCATAATAAACCTTAAAGTCACACAGTGCAAGTTATCCCACTTTGTTTTTCTTCAGTATTGTTTTAGTTATTCTGGATCTTTTGTGTTTGGGGGTAGATTCTTAAAATCTATGTAGTATATATTAGACAAAAAATTCGTGATTTTTGATTATACAAATCAAGTTGGATAGAATTTTCATCTTGAATATTTTGAGTATTACAGTTGAAAATATGGAATATCTCATTTGTTTCAACATTTAGTTTTTAGTTTTCTCTATATAAGTTGTGAACTGACTGTTAGATTTCACTGAATTATATCTTTTTTTGGTTCTGTTGTAAATGGTATTAAGAGATACTAAGTTTTACTTCAGAACTGCAGTTTTTCACTACTGGTATGTAGGAATGAAACTGAATTTTGTATATCAGCTTTGTATCTCGTGAACTTTTCATAATTACTTCTTACATCTAGATGTTCTATGTCAATTCTTTTAGGAATTTTCCAACAGACAATCATGTCATTTCTGGAAAAAACACACTTATTTTTTCATTCCTTTTCAATCTTTGTATCTTTATATTTCTGTACTCACCTTTTTGCCTGAGATCAGACTTCCGTTTCAATCCAGTGAATACCAATATTGAGAGTGGATGGTCTTGTTTTTCCCCATCTTAGTGAAAAAGCCTCCCATGCCTTACCATTAAGTGTGTTAGCTCTACGTTCTTTTTGAGATGCCCTTTATCAAGTTAGGGAAATTCCTCTCTTTGTTTCTAATTTGCCTACAGCTGTATTATTAATGAGTGCTTATTTTGTCAACTAAATTTTTCATATATTAAAATGATCATATGATTTTTAACTTTATGGATGTGATAGATTATATAACTGATTTTCTAATATTTAAAACAACCTTCCATATTTAGGATAAATCCCACCGGTTTTTACTGTATAATTCTTTTGATTCAATGTTGGAGTTGATCTGCTAGAATTTTTAAGGATTTTTCACAAATATTCATAAAAGATATTACTCTATGGTTTTTTGTCTTTCAATTCTTTATCTAATTTTCCTAAAGGAATTGTTTGCTATATTTTGGAAGAGATTTTAAAGAATTAATGATATTTTTTCTTAAATATTTGGAAGATTTTCCACTGAAGCCTGGTTATCATCCTGTTTCTATTTTTCAAGAGCTATTTTCCTTGTATGAGTTTGTGTAGTTTCATCATTAGGAATTTCACTTTTTCTTCTAGTTTATCAAATTTGGGGGCAAAGTATTGTTTGTGTTTCTTATTTTCATTTTGAAACTATGTGATAAGTACTCATGA